CGGTACGTAAATGCGTGGGAAAGTTGGGAAACGTGAGGAAGGCTGGCATTGATGAAAAGTTGAGGTTTGTAACTGGAGCAATTGGACACATTCGTGGGTGATCATCTGATAACACGGTGGACTTTAGTTGGGAAAGGAATGCATCGGTCAGTTGTTGCAAGTAGGCAGGTAAGTTGAATTGGAGTACGTTTCGGACAATATCATTTTCATCGTGATATTCTGGCGGTGGTTCGTTATAATAGAAAAGCGACTTGAAGATTCTTTCGTAGTAGGAATTTAACTTGCGGCTGGTCATTCCTGTTGAAATTAATTGCAGTAGGCTGATTCTTGATACGTTATTAGGATTTTTTCGTAAAGTATGTTGAACATAAATGTAGTTTCTTTCTGCGGCAATGACGTTGAAGGAGTAATAGTAAAAAGGCACTGTAGCGACAAGTTAGGAGCGTTGCGTTTAATTTGGTTAAACCATTTAGTAAATTTGATTTCAAGGGTGTCCATGGGAGAGTGGTGAGTAAGGTTGTCAGACGGGGTGAGGAGAGATCCATTTACTTCGATTCCGAAAGTTGCGACTGATATTACGAAGGTTTTGTAAAGTTGTTTAACAATGTTCCACGGGGCGGTCTTGGCTTTCGTTAGTATCTTTGCTTTAAGTACATTACATGCAGTCTCAGATTTCTGAAGGTTACGCTTGGTTGATGATGTAATACTCCAGTTTGAGAAAATCGTAATTCCAAGGAAAGTAGTTTCGGTAACAACAGTAATTGGCTGGTTATCAGTCGGTGATAAGGCAAAGGTGGTGTTGAGCTTGGATTTAAGTCGGCCATGGATTTCCATTATTACAGTTTTTTGCTTGTTAATTGTCATTCCGATCTCATTCATAAAGTTGGTGGTAATGTGTATGCTTTCTTGAAGGTAAGTTGGTGAGGAGGCGATAAGGGTGACATCATCAGCGAAGAGAATCGCATCAATACGAATGTCAGACAGCATGACATCAGGTGGTCGGCGGTGTTGCAGTTTGGTGAAAAGGTCATCCAAATAAATGTTGAAAAGTAATGTGGATAACGGATCTCCTTGGCGTACACCTTTCTGGAGTGGAAATTCGGCAGATCTTTCAGTGCGTGTTTTGACATAAGAGGTTGAGTTGCGGTAAAGGTGGTATATAGCTGATATGAGGTAGGCCGGTACATTTCGTCGGGAAAGGATTTTGTAGAGAGTGGAGTGTTGTACATTATCGAAAGCGGCAGTTAGATCCATGAAACATGCAAAAGTTGATTTACGATGTTTAAGGTTTTCTTCTACGATGGCGTGTAGAGCGATATGCGCATCAGTTGTTGATGTAGCAGGGGAGTAGGCAAACTGGAGTTGGTTGGGTTGAACAAAATTCTTGAGTCGGTTTAAAATGATTTTGCTGTACATACGGCTGGGTGGAGAGGTTACACTAATTGGACGCAAGTTGGCGAGGCTGGTTGGCTTGCCGCGCTTTGGAATGGGAGTTAAGGCGCTGACGGTCCATTGTCTTGGTAGAGGGCGTTCGCCGGCGAGTGCTTGATTAACAAAGGTAGTAATATGTTGTCGGTAGCATGCAATGTCCAGTAGCTTCTTGTATGTAGCGGTTTGAATGTTGTCTGGTCCGGCGGAGGACGTGCTCGAAATGGAGTTAAAGGCATTCAGTAATTCAGCTTCGGTTACTGGTGGAATAGCGTCTTTAGTAAAAGTAGAAGGGGTGAAAGGTTGCATTATGTCGCTTTGGGCTTTACTCTTGAAGTGCGTATACAGGTCCGTTATCGATAGTTGGTTGTTTGATGAGTCTTGATGTTTGAAACGCTCCCAAAATTTGGCGGGTGAGAATTTTCGGTCGTTATTCAGTTGGAGGAGGAACAGTTCGCTTTCACGTTTGCGAATAGACTTTAATAGGCGGCGAAGGCGGGTGTGGAGGGTAGACTTGCTTGAACTTGGATCTTCGGGGGCAGCGAATTTATTTTTTGTGTTTTGTATCGGTCCATTGTCGTTTCAAGTTTTGAAGTTGCGAATCTTCGGGTATTTCTTTAGATGGTTGTGAACATTCCCGTACGAGACACTGTATGTCGGCAGCTACATCGTGCAGGGGTATATTGGTAGCGATCGTAGTGTAGTATTGATTAACACGGACAGTTAGTTGATCGTAATTAATTTGCCGGCTGTTTGTGTTGGGCTTGTTGTGTAGTGTGCTCTTTTTGATGATTTGGTCGTTAGAGTTGACATTGAGTTGGAGGTGTATCGCAGCGTGGTCGGAGTATCGGAAACATTCTTGGATGATCTTGAACTTTACGATGTTATTAATAACGTTGATGTTGGCAAGAGCGTAGTCGATGACAGAAGTGGATTGAGCTCGTTGGAATGTAAACTCGTAGGGGAAGTTGTGGTTAAGATCACGTAGACCATTGAGAATAGGCATTTCGGCTGCAACTGATAACTGTAGAAGTTTGTCGCCGCGTCCGTCGGGGTCATTGGCGTTGTCAGGGTTCTCGTATCTTTCGTACGTAAACACTTCTTCAGCGGAGGCAGGATCCATTATGGGTAATGGTGTGTTCGATATGTGCGCGTTGAAATCTCCGCAAACGATCAGCTTAGAATTTGACACAGATGACGAAATTGTTAGCAGTTCATCGTACAGTTGTTCCATTCTGTCAGCATTGATGTAAGTAGAATTGTATGGCGGAATGTAAACACAGAGAATATGAAGGGCAACATCAGATGAGTTAAAATTGTGAATCATAAGATGTAAAATTTCTTCGTAATCATTAGTAATTACTGTTAGTTTGATACAGCTTTTGTGAAATACAATAAAACCTCCGCGCGATTTATGAGTACGCGAGTAGAAGGGAAAGGAAAAGGTAATGTAGTTAGGCAAAACTGGTAATTTGTCAGTACCTTTATGATGCGTTTCGGAAAATATTATAATATCAAATTTTGTAATAAAATCGTTAATGAAAAGAGGAAAAGAAAAAGCGCGTTCAATACCATTAACGTTCCAATAACTAACATTTAAATGAGATGGTTGCTATAGTACTCGATTTCCTACCGCCACACGGTCAGGGCCGTAAATCTGGTCAACTGTATCATTGAAAGGGAGATTTACTCGGGCGATCAACTGTATCATTGAAAGGGAGATCAGCAGTTTGCATGGGTTGCCATCCATTTGCCGGGCGGCGACGTCAAAACCGTCGTTCCACTGGAGCGCATTAGAAGCCCGATGCAGAGGCTTTCGCTGGCCCACGAACTGGAAAAGGCCATCCCGATCAGTGATGTGGCGAAAGCAATGCGCTTTTATGTAAGAAACTTCACAGACTAAGCGACGTTGCGATGTAACTGAAGGGAAATACACCTTTTTGACTGTTGCAGAGTAAATCCCTGCTCCGACCTGACCGACTCGAACAATGCAGCGCAGATGCCGTCAACTTAAGAAAGCGTGGACGCGAGCCCGTATTCCAAGCTGCGGTAAAACGCCAGAAGACGGAATTCGCTTGCAGCGGTCGCCTAACTTCGTTCGTGATGAATTCCGCGATCCCTGATGACGGAAAAGCTCTCCGCTTCTTACCAGCGGATATAATGACCGCGATCTTCCAGTTTTTGCACACGGTCGATCAGTGCCGCCTGCGGGCAGTCTGCGCCGGCTGGGACCACATCCTCACATCGGCCGCTGTAAGAAAGCGGCTGCATATCCAGATTCCTACTGAAAGAGGATCATCCTCCGCGGGAGATGTTTACGTCGCTGTGGCCTGTGCACATCGCTGCTGGAGCCCGCGGGCGGTGGTCATTGTGGGCGCGCCCGTCAGCGATTCTTCTAAAGTGCACTGGCCGTTGTGTGATGGAGACTTTCTCCGCGAAGTTATGCAAGAGAGGCCGAGAAATTCCGGAGAATCTCGTTATGAAGGATATCAACTGCTGCTATTCGTCCGGACTATCCGAGGATTACGTGTCTACTCTTCACGGCGTTTTTGACTCGCTAGCGGCGATCTGTCACAAGCTCACTGTGATAAACTTCGGCTGTGAGATTTTCTGGTTTTGGGCGGAGGGATGTGTGGTGATAACGATCCGCGTGCCGTTCGGACGGATGCGCCACGATCGGCGTCTGAACGTTGCAGATTGGTGGGACATGCTCGAACGAAGTTGTCCTGTGTTGGATGAGCAACAAGCGGACCTTGTGTTTGACGCGATTATGGATCCAAAACGGAATGGGTTGCTAGATGCGGTACGGATCATCCTTCACGAGCGCAAGATGAATTTGCGATTTACGGTTTGTTTTTACTTTTGAGAGACTGGTTTTCCTTAGGTGCTGGCCACTTCTTCACGGAAGAATTACAGTGATCTAGGCAACGTTCCAACAGGATACGATCCACTTGAGTCGGAAGTGATCCCGCTGACGCGGATGTCACAGTACTTAATGTACTGCGCAATTTCCCACACAAATGCCGTTTTCGAAATGACCTGGCCCACTTTTTGGTGACTTCCCCTCCTGTGGACTACCGGAAGTCATGCAGTGGACAGCGGTTAATTAGTCAGGCAACTCTAAAAGAAAGATGAAAGAGAATATACGATTTGTTTGTCATAACCGATTTAGCTCAGCGATGCTGCGGCAGTTTGTAATTATGCCGGGTACCGTTAAACTCGGTTTGCATTGGATTCCGTTTGTTCATGGATTGGGCTTCCGTTGGATTTGGACTTAAAGTGAATTGTTGTCACACGTCCTGAAGTATTGTTACTACGTTTTGCCATAATGTTGTTTTGGGTGGCTATTGCCTATTAAGAACCGTCGTTCGTGGCATTTTTCGGGTGCAGGATCCACACTCTTTCCAGGCTTGATTTGTCATTTCATTTTGCGCTTTCTCTGCAGTCAGATGCAGCTACACATGTAGCTTCGAGTCTTTCTTACCAGTGATTTGCACAGTATGAGCTACGTTGAATAGCAACGTTTTCCAAGCCATTTGCTAAGTTTTTAACAGATAGAGGTACCGGTTACTGTTTAGGAACGGTTTTCTCGAGAAGCTAAGCATAACCTTCCTTAGTGAATAAAAAAAAGATGACAGTTTATTGCTACCACTATTCGGTCAATGTTTTTCTGACTTATTCGAGCTGTTTGACAGCAGCAATAACTGACAGATCAAAAAATCAAGCAGACCCGTTTAAGGACTGATAATCAGTGTAGTAACTACAGCCAAGAGTGGCTCTGACAAAATTGGCACTACAAACGCGCGGCGCTGACAAGTTCCCACATCATTAATTCAAGACGACGGCCGATCTCTGCACTCCATGATGCGCGTCTCGATCTTCTGCTGCAACCTCGTTCCCCCATCCTCCATCACACTCGGCTCATAATCCGTCTGGAAGATGCGCGTGTACTCATTGGCCAGTTGCGTGGACACGCCTTTAACGGCACCTAGGAATTGCGGGTACTCCACCGGCTGCGCCAGGTAATCCTTGGTCGCACCTGCACATTCCACATCAAATGATTCGACAACGCAGAAAACACAAGACCGTCGGTTTACCGGCTTCGGTCTGGCCGAACCACCACGTGGAGAACTTGGTGGAGTGCTGGAAGCGCTTCTTCATCGGGTACAGGGTGGTGCGCGACATGGTCTGGGTGTTGTGCAGGGTGACCACCTGCCGGAAGGCGCAGTGGTGCACGGGCAGGCTCAGCGAGGGCTGGATGGGTTCCTCGCCAACGCTGGTCGTTGCGCAGGAGGGATCCCCACTGTAAATACAGCATTTAAATGTAGGGTTCGTTAGGGTTCTTTGGGTTCTTAGTTACCTATCGCATGTGGTTCCTGGCTGCGGTTTCGTGGCGACGACGGTCACCGTGACAATGCTGGCGGACTTGAAATCCTGTTGTGATGGCGGTTTGCTTGTGGGTGTGGGCGTTGGTCTGGGCGCGGCTTGCTGCGTAGAACCTACAAAAACTTTATGTTGCTTCTCCACGTGCATCAGTACAGAACGTATTGGATACCTTGGCAAATAACAGTTTTCAGCTTCTTCACGTCGTCGGCACTCAGCTGCTGGCGTTGACCAATTTTCGCTTTATTTTTAGCCATCAGCGTCGGTATACTAGCCACCTGCGCCAGGAAGACATATCCCGGATGTAGAAGCGAGTCGTAATCGTAGGGTAGCGTGTCGAATATTCCCGGATCGTTTTTATCCAGTTCATTTCTCCTTTCTACAGCAGAGATTCATTTCTGTTTCGGTCTAATAGATGTTCGGTTATTACCTGGGATGACGTTATCCCAGTTGACAATAATATGCTCATCCCGGTCGCTGCGGACGTGTTCATGTGGGAATCCCATGGCCAGCATGAGCAGCTGCTGGATGCGGCCGAGTTCGCCGGCACTGATGCATTGGGTACTGAGGTACACTTTGTGCATGGGACTACGCACGCCCCCAAACTCCGCGGCGCAGGTACCACTCTGGCCACTGGCGAAGCGGATCGTTGGGTTGTTGGGCACTTTCAGCGCGTCAGCGTCGTCCACCGAGAGAAACCGCAGGCACTGCGTCTGGTTGGTGATGTCGTCCAGGGCGGCGACAATGTCATCCATCAGCGCATCTACTCCACACAATTCGCAGATAAAAATTTCTAGTGAACTCGACTAGTAGTATTTTCATAGCGTTCCTACTCATAAATCAAGCACTCACTGAATTGTATATGATAGAATTAATTTTTTTCAGTTTCCCTTGCAGGTTTTCTTCTGCAAATTGGCCCGGACAAAAATCCTGCTAACTCAGAGCCTATATCTAGGGTTTCTCTGGTTTCTTAAACTGTTTATTTTTTCACAGGCTTATGCATTTAAGCAAAACGAACCTTCCGTGTCTATTTATGCACGCGTTTATGTAGTTACTGTATAATGTATATAGCGTTAGCTGAAACCTGGCCTCTCGTTTTAGTAAAATTATAAGCTCGTTCTATAGTTGAACACGGTACCATGTACCGGAACGTAGCGAAGATCTCCGTAATTCGTTAAAGTGTTCGTATTGGTAGCGTACCGTCGACATCCGGCTCCACCATGTAGGGAATGGCCAGATTCCCATCCGGCAGCCGATAATACGGCGCCCTGGACGTCTGCAGCGGACAGGGCGGATGTACCCCGGCCGTGCACCCAATCAGATCATCCTGGTACAACGGCGTCCCGCTTGACAGCGCGACACTAATCTCCGCGCTTTGGATGGCTTGTAAGTCATCGGCGGGAATGTACTGCGCAAAATCTGCAGTTAGAGAGAATGTAATTGTGCCTGTTTGTTTTCTCGCAAAAAGAAAGAATTTACCGATATTCTCACTAAAAGACGATGATGGGCTAATGGAAAGCAGTACGAGAACATGGACAGAGACGGAGAGCGTGGAATGGAAAAAATGCAGCTCTTGCTGATGCATGTTGTGGTTTTGCCTGAGCAACTGTAATGAAACGGTGTTTGGTGCATTTTACTTTAAACGCTGTATATCACGACATTTCCGGTTTTCGGATAAATTGTGTTGTTACACTTCTGCAATTCTAGATTACTCACACTATTTATCGCCTAAGGCCATTTTTTACCGGTTGAGCGTGGTGAGCGCTGACGCGCCGTTTCAAACGCTCACATTGACTTCAGCCGGCTCTATCGGTGCGAAAAATGAGGAAATCTATACGACAGTGAATTAACTTTATTATAATTTTGTAGAACACCCGAATTTTAATCGATGCCATTTTTATCCAATAGTGGTTGAAACGCTGGGTGTTTCTGGACCGGCTTTCAGCGGGATATTGCATTTTATGGGTCGCAAAATTTGTGAGCTGACTGGAGAAGCACGTTTGCCACGTTACACTGCTTTTCTTAAGCAACGGTTTAGTTTGCTTGTTCTTAACAGAAATACTGACTTAAAAGAAACGGGCGGTGTTAGGTACGCTACCTTTAACCAACGGGAGGAGATTTTGGTTGGTTTTCACTTTGGTTGATTAAATTTTGATTAGTATGACCGCACTTGCGCCTTGTCTTAATTTGGTGGCTGCTGCAGATTAAAACCAACGCGAAATTCCCTAATAAAATCAACCCCAAAACTGTATTATTATTAATACTCACTTTGCTGATAATAAAACCAAAGATTTATGATAAGTTGATAACGGTTAATTTTACTAAGACCCTTACAATAGGAATATGCACAAAATTAAAGGTGAAATTTGAAAGGATTTCATAAAATTGTACATCTGAGCATTTTCGTTTCGATTTAAAACGTACAGTAATCATACAAACAACGCTGGCCCAGCGAGCATTAAATATTAATTCAATACAATCGTTCAGGACTTGCCAAGGAAAGTACCAGACAGCTGGTTCGATAAACTGCCATTCTTCTTAATTACAGACAAACTTCCGCTCATTGCTGTTGACTCGACCAATGTGCAAAAAAATTCACGATGTTCCATGGTCCGGCAAACGGACCCTAAATTACCCAGCACAACGCCAACTGGCGCAGGAACCGCAGCGCCACTACCGACAACTTCTTCGTACGAATACGCTCCATACCGTCCAAGCAAAACTTCTTCCCGCGGCAATGCGTCGAGGGTCGCGGATCAGCCGACTGCGCTGCACACAGCATCTGCCAAAAAGAAAATTAATACTTGGCAGGTTTCTTCGTATCGGTAGACCTCACCTTGCAGACAGTGGCCATAAATTCCCGACAGTCTTCACCCGCCGTGACGGCGGCTATCATGGCGGTCCGACACTCCACCAACCGATGCAGTTGCTCCTGAGTGGGTGCCGTTAGCCCCGACTCCAGCGCCCTCCACACCGCGCATTCGACATCCCCGTCGCCCGCAACCCGCTGCGTCACGCGGGTCGGGACGTGCAACACCAGTTCACTCTGTCTCTCGATGAGCGATACCATGTACTCCAACGTGATGGTGCAGTTTGTCAAATAGAGACTTCCACAGGGAGGTTGCTGCAGGCGCTGATGAAACCGGCCAGATTGATGCTAAAGTTGCGGGACGGATCACGCGGCTGATGCAGCACACAGGCGGATGGTTCGCCGTCGGATGTCACCGTGTCGTAGCGCGTGGCGATCATCAGACTGAAATCTAATCGATGCAAACGAATCGTTTTCAGTCGGATTGCGGGAATGCGCTGTGCGACGAAGTGGATCATGTCCAAGACCTTAATCACGTGGCTACCTTCGAGGCAGCGTCCGCGATCAGTGAGAAGGACCCGTTGCGTGGACAAAGACAAGCGTTTGAATAGCGGAGCAAGGAGCGAGTACGTCAGCCAGAAATCTTTGCATGGTCGGGTCTTGCGGACGGCCGCAGTATCGAGAACGAGATTGGCAGCTAAAAACTGCGATTCCGTTACATAGTTCCACGCTGTGCACACAGCGCGCAGCTTCGTTTGCGTTAGTGTGTCAAGGAAGGAGAAGATTTGCAGTTCATCCGGTAACACAGCACCTTCATACATGTCTACAGTCGGCGGCGGCGCAGGCTCCGGCATCAGCGAAACGTAATCCATCAGTTGGCGATGGAAGATGATGAGAGGTTCCTGCAATTTAGCGCCACAAGAGACATGATAGGAAACCCATGATAGGAGACATGATAGGTCATAAGATACATGACAGAATGATGATCGTTACTGCCACAAGAAACGCTTTTTACCGGTTCAACAGTGGTCATCTCTCGGCGCTGTGCAACCGGGGCATACTGGCGCTGGACGTACTCTACACGGTCATGCGTAACACGAACCCCAGCTGCTTGCGCCGCGGAATGAGCTGCCTCCGTGTTACGGTGTTTGAGCGCTGCGCTAACCAATGGGAAGCGATCTGTCCGCAATACAATACTGCGCGCAGCAAACATCCCTTTCCTCACGCGTTCGGGCAAATTCCCGTACTCGTCCTCGGTCGCGGTCCCCTTCCACCAGTACACAGGCAGGCGCCAGCGGATGCGCGTCAGCGGAACGACATCCGCATGTTCCGCGCCGTGATGCCAACGAACCACCACCTCACGGTACCATGAGTAGTGGAGACTGCGGACCAGACTGCAGATCTCCCCGGGGTACCAGGTCCACGGTTCGGCTGCGCTTTCCCGCATCAGGATGTCCACCGGCGGGAGCGTTCCGAAGCGGTGACAGGCCGCGGCCAGTTTGTGCGCGTCCAGGCAGCGCCTGCGATCGCTCAGGAAAACCCGATCGAACGGGACCAGTTCGCGGCGACGGTTGGGACACAGAAAGTCGATAAGGAGCCCGACATCGGCCACGCCCACCACATGCCCGTAACGGAGTCGGGCGTCGTGGCCCATGACGTCCACGCTGTTCCATTGGGAAACGCCGTTGGCCATTCCGGGCGTCGAGTGGTGCGATGGTGGAGGTTGGCAGATCGTGTCGAAATTCCGAAGAACCTGATGAACACAGAGAATGAATCGATTAACATTCAGAACCGCTACGTTGTTCTCAGAAGCAAACGCCAAAGACAGTCTACCGCTCTCCGTCTAACTTACAGCGAAAAAGTCGTCCGTCGTATATTAGAATTTTGTGATTTTCTGACAAACCTTAAGCAACAGTTAGCAAATTCGAATTCGTCTTGAAGTTCAATGTTTTAACACATTCCGGAATGCCAAGACGAGCACGATCGATGAAAAACCAACGGCTGCCCAATAACGAACGACAAACATCGGTTGACGTTCAATTAGTGTTATCGCTGTTACAGTTAGTCGGTTGCAGCTTAGCAGTGGGTGCCACAGTGGCAGTATATTACTATCCGAGCAGTGCTCATTGGTCCGTGTACAAACAACCTTCATCCGGTTCCATCCGTTGTATGGAAGGGCAACCGCCATTGGCGTAACTCGACTCGTCACCACAACTTATAGAAATTTCGCGTGCCAACAAGTGAAGCAAGCAAACGCTAAGCAAGATGGGCCCAGGGTGGCCCGCGATCAAGCTGTGACTCAGCCTCTGACCGCTCACACTCTGACTCTGACTACTCAAAGTCTGACTCTGACTGTCCAAATTCTGACTCTGATCTGACTGAATAACCTAAGAATAACTTTTGAAACCTAAGACATTTAAGAAACCTAAGAAACCTGTTAAGAAACCTATTAAGAAACCTATTAAGAAACCTATTAATAAACCTAAGAAACCTATTAAGAATCCTAAGAAACCTTCAGAGTCAGAGTCAGACTTTAAGCGGTCAGAGTCAGACTTTGAGTAGTCAGAGTCAGAGTTTGAGTGGTCAGAATCAGAGTCAGAGTTGGAGTCTGGGCCGCGCAGGGTTAGCGTCTTGTGATACCGGGGCCAACGGCACCAGCGCTCAGAGTTGCGTTACACTTTTTTATCAGTCATTGTTTTGTTACTCTGTTCATTGCGGCAGGTTTTCTGCTAACTTTCGTGTTTCTGTCGGAGTAGCAGATATGGTAATTTACGAACCCGTGGTCTGTAGAAAGACACTGCATACCTTTTCGCACTGAACTGTACTCCGTAGCCCGTTGTGCTTTGCACTTTGCAGCAGCTGAACCTCCTTTTCCATTCGTACCCAACTACTGTAAATGGACCGCGATAACGCCGTGGACGTTCTGGGCAGCGATCAACGGATGCGTTACGGGCTCGTAGTGGATGTGGCAGAAGATGGCCTCTTCGTTGATCTGCGCTGTCCCCATCGGCGACGCGAATTCGCGCCATTTGGCAGCATATTCCTTAAGCGCAGAATGGAGCACAGCGATCTCTACCACTTTCGTTCTCAGCAGCAGTCCGTCTTTCCGGTTGAGGTTCTGGTGCCGGAAACAACATCGGGTCCGTGGATTTGGCAGAATGGCGAAATGAGTCTACCACCGCGGGAAACATACACCGGGGCCGTTGTTCATTGGCTGAGTCCAGACATGGGAGTGCTATGCACCGATTTCGTTTCCGCTCAGCGCGTCCGCCCTCTTTTGGATGTATCCACTTGGCTAAATGAGGCAAGACGTTTTAAACCGCTGACAGAAATAGATTCGTGTCGGTTTGGAAGTCAGGCAGCTAATGACGACCCTTTACTGCGCCATTGCGTCCGTCCAGGCACCTTTTCCATGCACAGCGTGCAACTGGGCCAAGAATGTCGCTTGCTCTCTACTGATAAAGCTGCAGCGCTCATTAAGCACGTGAATAACAGCGAGCTTCGGCACTGGAAGATACTGTAGCCGCTAGATGAAGTGGCTCCACGTTTAGATCCGCCCGCTGCCTGCACCTGGCCGGGCATTGAGCACGAGCCTTCCTGCCACCGGGAGGCGCGCACTTTGCTTCTCGATATTAGTACTGTTGCTAACTGTTCTCTGCCCCTGCCAGGGGCACCCCAAAAACCACAACAAACCAGATTCATAAATCGAAAACTATCAGAGCTGTGACATTATGCTCTTACAATAATAATCGTACGTTGCTAAAATTAAGAAACTCAGTAAAACATGTAGAACGTCAGCAGAAGAGTGAAAATGGTTTGAAA